AGGAAGAAAGGAAATATCTGGTACTTCCAAGTTTTGGAAAGCATATGATTGACGCCATGTGCCAGTGCTGGTATTTGGGGCCCCTAAATCTGTCCGTAAACATGATATGACAATAATCTCTTGTAATTTTCACACAGATCTGATAGGTCTATATTTGCACATGTGTAGAGATTGTTTTTTTTTGTGGTCAGTCAACACGTACTGATGTACATAGTAGAAATGTCACCTTAACTTAACCCTTTTACTGCCATCAAAGTATGACATGCATTAGCAGCAGCAGGGGGTTGTATTCACACTCCCACCCTGCTATTAAATTTCACAAGCTAACTGTTGGGTTTCAGGTCAAAGCAAATAGGTGGCTGTACAGCTGCCTGATTGTTTCCATAGATCCCTGTAACATTCGAAGTGGGCTTCTGATTGCCTGGAAGCAGGGGCGGACTGACAACTCATGGGGCCCCCGGGCAATAGGGGATCATGGGGCCCCTGTGTCCTTGCCCAAACTTAAAAAAGCCTATGAAAAAGGTACCAGGGGCATCTCATGGGGCCCCCCTACTGACCCCCGGGCCCTCGGGCAGTTCCCGAGATTTCAAATGGTCAGTCCGCCCTTGCCTGGAAGTTGGAGCCAAGTTTCCCAAGTCCCCACCCTGCTTCTTCTTGGATATGACAGATACCCATCTGCTGTTGATGGAACCTTCCCCCTTATTGTGTCATGCTCTTGGCCATAGGCCTGCTCTTGACATCCCCAGCCATAGGCCTTAGTATTCAATAATAAATGAATTTCCACACGTAAAATGCATTTGCCACACTACTGTAACTTCACAAAGGTTTCTGTGACACATAACATCACATATGACATACTAGCAGAACTCGGTTGTCATTTCTGAAAAGGATGCAAGGACTTATTCTGTAAGCCATCTTCCCTTTGCACCTCCACTCCTTGGGAGCAACACAGAGTTGGGACCACCTTCTCCATGTATACTAAGGCCACAGATTTCAGCTACATCATATATACCAGTATAATCAAGGTGCCCTCATTAGTATATCAGTTTCTTTCCATGTCCCTTCCAAAGCTCTGCCAAGCTAGGCACTCTCCCAGATGACACACTCATTCCCAGGCTTCACCACTACTCATGTCTGAGGATTCTGTCCTAAAAGGTCTTATGTGACCCACTGCAGGACCTGCATTTAGAAGATTAGGGGAGATGGGGTGACTACAGCTGTTCCTTCTGTATTGTACCAACTCGCCTGGAACTTCAGCCCTGCAAAGGACTTTTTAGATCAGCTTTATAATGTACATCTTAGCAGCTCTGGGGTGTTTGGTTCCCATGCCCCAACAACTACTAGGCCCCTCCCACACTGGAATATATATGGGCACTATCTCCACCCATTATGTCAATAGAGGAAGGTTTTCTCTAAAAGGGCCTACAACCCAATTACCACTTTTCCTTTATTATACTATATTGGGAGCAGATCCACCTGGTGGCAAGGTAGCTAACTGCACCTGCCAACAACATTCACCCACTGTCAGGTTTTGTTGGGTATAGGAGGGAGACCAGTGAACATTTCTACGCTAATCTCCTCTAAATAGTAAGAGCACATATGTGACAAGGATAGTGTCACTTCCGGTTGCTGCTGACACTTTGTGGCCCAGTAAATACAATGGATTGACTATCCTGTTGTATAGTTGTATCATTCCTGCAAGACAGAACAAGACAAAAAAACCAAATGTTTCGAACTGGAAATGCATAGACTTTTTGGTAAAGATATTGACTAAATATTCTATGTACTGCTTGTACTACAAGAATATTAAAGGCTACACACAGATTTCCTAATTCCATTAAAATACAAGGCTGAATGTAATGTCGCTGAACTCTGAGTTAACTCTTAGAATATTTTTTCATCAGTGCGAACTGATACATTATTCTTCATGATACACAATATTCTATTTGAAATAACATTGTTTGTTTTATATTGATGTTGCTTCACTCAAGAAAACCTGTGCTGAGACAATTGCATAAGCTCTCACTGCTGACTTATCCTTTTGAAAATGCCAATAGACAGGCTGTGATACTGCCTTCTGACATGACAATCATGCAGTTAGCATTTTCAGAAATACTGTATGACAGCAAAAGCAGCCAACATATTTCTCTCAGTAAATCTTTAATAAAAATTGCAGGCATGGTATATGCTTGGACCAAGATGTTAATATCATATCTAGCTGATTCCCCAAGAAGCTGGAAATCACTGAAGTGGACACTGCTACTCCAGTGAACTTCACTTTCTTCCAAGTCCAGTGCTGAGCAGCTTGCTTTATGCATTGTGAATACAGGAGGTCAACCACTCAGCACATGTGCCATTCAGAGAATGCTCTGGACAAGTTGGAGAGTCAGGGTGCTAATGTCACTCTTTCCGCTTCATCCAAGTAGAACAAACAAAACATTCTTTGAAAGATACAAACAAATGGCAACTGCCCCAATCTATAACTGGCCTTTGCAGCAAGGAGCATATGGAAGGGCAATGCATGTCAAACAACAACAAAGAAAAATTCTCAGCTCAACTTACCAACCAGCTGCATCCAAATGAATTGTCCTGTCTAAAAGTTTGCTTTAAAAACATGGGTTTAGTTTTCACACATTTGCAAATGCATGAGTAAGCTGCAGAGCCTCTTCACAGCACCCCAGTATTATAAAGTAGGACTGCACATAATACTGGTTGGTAAGTTGAGCTGGGAATTTTTCTTTGTCATTGTTTGACATTCTTTGAAAGATGCCTGTGCTGATCAGCTGCCTTCCTGTATTCACAATGCATCAGGCCAGTCTCTCAGCAGGGGACCAGGAATAAAGTAAAGATCACCTGAGTAGCGGTGTCTACTTCCATAATTTCCAGCTTCTTGGGGTATCAGCTCAAGTATAGTGTATACATAGTTACATTGGTCCAAACTGAACCTGTGTAACTTTGTATAAAATAACCATACCTGGAATTCTACTTTAAGTAGATATGAGTTTAGATATTCTATATTTTGTAATATGTTTGTTATTTCTTGGATATTAACACTGTGGTAATTCTCCAAATAAATAAAAATGTTATAGGCCTAAAATAACTACTTGAACAAAGCCCCACCTAGTCCAGTCTAAATGTTTTGTTATAGGAAAGATGTCAACCACCTGCAGAAACAGTAAGATAAAGTCAAACACCCTAGAAAGCTTCTGAAGATGCCCTGTGGGAGGGGTGAAACGCATTAGTCAGGGACTTCTGGTGACATCATGTCTGGCCGGAGGAGCACATGCTGAGGCAGTGTTTCTGGTTCAGCGATACATGCTTTTCTAACTATTTACTTTGTGAGTGAAATTTTAATTTTATTACTAATAAAAATACAGAATTACACGATATATGCTTTATGATCCTTTTTATATATCAACATCGGGAATTTGGTGGAATACTGGAGAAATAGCAGCAAGGAGAACTCACATCTAAAAGTTATCTTATCCAAGCGGTTTAGATTCTTAGTAATTGAGAGTCCACACTAGTTGGTGAGTGGGGAAACAAAGGAGGGAAGCACAGCATAATCCCAGAACCAATCAAAAAAGCCATTGCATATTTGTACTTTTGTTATAGGACTGCAATTTATTTATTTGTTTAGGGACTGCACATATTTATTCAATGACTGTACTCAGTTTACTTTATTGGATTGCAAAGTTTAATAGTTGTATGTTTATGTTATATATGTTAAGAGCAGCATTGTTAACATATACAGTGCATTCAGAAAGTATTCACAGCGCTTAACTTTTGCCACATTTTGTTATGTTACAGCCTTATTCCAAAATGGATTAAATTCATTTTTTCCTCAACAGTCTACAAAACAATACCCCATAATGACAATGTAAAAGAAGTTAATTTTGAAATCCTGGAAAGACAGCTGTCATGGCCAAGACTCCACTCCAGTTTAATGCTTGGCAGGTTGAGAATCACCTTTCATTTTTTACCAGAGTCCTTCAATTGCAAAAAAAGTAGATTGGCAGTGAAGTAAGCATCAGGACTATTTCTGCTCTTACCAACATGGTATTCATCAGGGCTGGTTCTAGGGGTGCCAGCAGGGTGTTGTGTTTGTACAAAATATTTTTCCAATTTCAGTCACCATCCCCTTCATCTCCTCAGCCTTTTGTAGCATACAGGTATGTGTGGTGATATTCTCAGATGTTGTTGGTACAACTGAATTGACTGATATTGTTGAGAAAAACAGTCATGACACGGTGTTCACTTGTGAATTGATTCTGTGGAGAGAATATAAACAGATGAATAATGTTATTTTACACCATGTCAAATAATACAAAGAAAGGAAAATGATCAGATCTTCAGTATAGTAATAAAAAACTGGGATTCATAGTTGTTCAAGGAGTTTATGAAATTTCAATATATAGTTAGACCCATACATATGTGATGGCTTTTTTTTGTAATGGAAGAGTAACTGTAGTATCGTATTTTCCGGCGTATAAGACAACTTTTTACCCCTTGAAAATCTTCTCAAAAGTCGGGGGTCGTCTTATACGCCGGTATACGGCATGTTGACATTTTTTCGGGGGGCGGTGCGCTACCGCCGCCCCCCCCCCTTCCAACGGAAGGGACACTAAGTACAGGGGTGGGCAGGGGCTGCTGTTTCTTACCTGGCTCCGGTCCCACGATGATCCAGTCCAGGAAGCGCAGCTGCTCCTTCATTCAGTTCGGCACTGGATGTTCGCGCGGCTGCTCAGCTCCGCCTCCTCACCGGTGATTGGCCGCCAGAACTGTAGCTCAGGAAAGGCACACAGGCGGCCAATCACCGGCGAGGAGGCGGAGCCAAGCAGCCCCCCCACAAAAATCGAGTGAAGGAGCGGCCGGTAAGTGTGTGCCGTGCAGAGGTGCTGCTGCAACCACATATGCTGGCTGCAGCAGCACCATACTGGAACAGGGGTCAGCAAGTGTCATTGGTGTCAGTGGGAGGAATAGTACCCCATCATTGGTGTCACTGATACCAATGATGGGGCATTATTCCTCCCACTGACACCAACGATGGGGCACTTTCCTCCCCCCCACTGACACCAATGATGGGGAACACTGACACCAATATTCCTTCTCCCACTGACACCAATGTTGGGACACTATTCCTCCCACTGACACCAATGTTGGCACACTATTCCTCCCACTGACACCAATGACGGGGCACGATTCCTCCCACTGACACCAAAGATGGGGCACTATTCCTCCCACTGATACTAATGATGGGGCACTATTCCTCCCACTGATACCAATGATGGGGCACTATTCCTCCCACTGACACCAATGATGGGGCACTATTCCTGCCACTGATACCAATGATGGGGCATGATTCCTTCCACTGACACCAATGATGGGGCGCTATTCCTCCCACTGACACCAATGATGGGGTGCTATTCCTCCCACTGACACCAATGATGGGGCACGATTCGTCGCTCTGACACCAATGACGGGGCACTATTCCTCCCACTAATACCAATGATGGGGCACTATTCCTCCCACTAATACCAATGATGGGGCACTATTCCTTCCACTAATACTAATGATGGGGCACTATTCCTCCCACTGATACCAATGATGGGGCACGATTCGTCGCTCTGACACTCGAATGATGGGGCACGATTCCTCCCCCACTGACACCACCAATGATGGGGCACTATTCCTCCCACTAATACCAATGATGGGACACTATTCCTCCCACTGACACCAATGACGGGGGGGCACGATATTCTTCCCACTGGTGTGCATTGGAGAGGGGTAGTCTTATACGGCGAGTATAGCCCAAACACTATATTTTAACAGGAAAAGTAGGGGGTCGTCTTATACGCCCAGTCGTCTGATACGCCGGAAAATATGGTACTTGGCACGATTCCCTCCCTGGTGTGCATTGGAAGAGGGGTAGTATTCACGGCGAATGCCCAAACCCTCACACTTTTACCAGGAACAGTGGGGAACTTATACTTTGAAATTTTATTGTTTGAAAGGGGGTAGTCTTATACGGCGAGTATAGCCCTTAACACTATATTTTAACAGTAGGGGGTCGTCTTATACGCCCAGTCGTCTTATACGCCGGAAAATATGGTACTTGAATTTTATTGTGCCTGTCCTCTTCAAAAGAAGGCGTTGATCAATACAACTGTTGATGCAGTGTCAATGCAGTATCATGTACTCAGAGCTTTTTTCTAGGTCAAACCTGAATGTCACTGTGACATCTTACCCATGGCTACCAATGTGAAATTGGTTTTAGCTGATGCGATTGCTCTAAAGTAATGGAGTGATTTGTTGCTTTAGGTACCACAATTCATTCAATAAAAATTATTCTCTAGCATAAAAGCAGGGGTGCTGTGGACACTGGACAAGCTCTCGCAATATCTACTGTGGAGAATTAGAATGCTGTGTTCCTGCAAACATTCCAAAGACAGTTATACAGTTATCCCATAGACAGTTGTCATGGCAACAAACAACAGTTGAACATTTTCCATTTGGCAAAGAAGATTCTTAAAGATGACTCTATAAAAAAGAAAAAACTAACAGATTAAAAACTGGCAAAGCAAAATATGAGCAGTGAGATAGTGTGACAGATTAACTACATGATTACAGCTTCATTCCTCTCTGAACTGCACTAAAGTAGCAATGTGAAAAAAATAAGACCTGATCATGACCATTTTCTAATTTTACATCTGTTTAGATGTAAAATATGTCCTCTGCCCAGTGACAGATTTGTCTCAGGAGCTTGCAAATCTGATAGTTGGCAACCCAGGATCGCCTAGGATTGTGTTTGGGTCACAAATGCGTAGTAAACGCTGCCTCTCTTAGTTTACAAATCTTTATCATAGGAATAAGGAGTTTTATGTTAACCACTTGACTGTTATTTTCAACTATCATTGAAAATAACTATTGCTTTATTGAAAATGATTATTCGTACCCTAGTGTATTAGCTTCATGAATTGAGCCTTATGAGCAGCAAGTAAAATAGAATAGGACAAAAGGAAAGAGACTGGAGGCGTCCATCTAAGTGCATCTAAAGTCCAAGGTGGATGCGTGGTCTCTTCCTGTACAGATGCCGCTGGATCGGCCTCTCTGTACCATCATTCTGCAGGATAGATCCCCACTGTGCCTTTACACATCTTCATCAGTCCAGCATACATCCCCTATGTCACCGGTGGCACCTGCAGGGCATTGAGGAACGGTTACCCCTTGCACACAGATGAGCTTGTCTTTTTATTATTCTTATGAGTGTTTTAATCCCTTTACCATTAAATACAGTTTTAATCACTGCACTTAGATGGGTGCCTCCTGTCTCTTTCCTTTTGTCCTTGTATACAGAGTTGTCTTTGCTCCTAGAATGGCTGCTTCTAATGAGTGCTAATTTGGACCTATTGTCCAAGAGACTTTTATAAAGACTTTGGTGTTTTCATTACACTATCATTTTACAGTGTTTTTCATATTGTTGTTATTTCCTGTATCACTTTACATATATATTTTTTTATATATCACTTCATCTCTGTGTGCCAGAATTACCTCTTTACAGAAAATAGAATAGGGATGCCCTCATACCATTCTCTCCTGCTGCATTGCTTTAAACACTTTCTTCAAATGGATGTTAAGGCTGCATTCACATTGGCTCATGGAAGAGCGGATAAATGCTATCTTTGGATGCAGCAACACTCTTTCCTATGGCAGCAAACTGGCTGATTAGCTGAGGCCACTTTGTGTATGGCCAGAACTTAAAAACAATGACCCTGAATGCACACTGTCTGGTTGAAAGGTCTGGCAGAGACTCTACTCACATGTAACTTCTCAGATGAGCGCTTACATGCAAACAGCAGTGATGCCAGCAATTGATATGTACATCTGCAAATCATGCACAGCTGCACCAGATTTTGAACTCTCCAGTTTTAGTAAATCAACCCCAATGTGTGCAGGCAGTCTTTTGTACTGCTGGCAAGAATCTATTGATTCTCACCAGCAGTAGCCCCTGGCCACCCCTAGTGCCTGTGTGAATGTTGCCTAATGTGCAGTCATTTGAATGGTTTGCCAAGACACCTGAATGGACAAGATAAAAACACACACACTTTTTTTGCAATACAGTGTGCCACAACATATGGTAGAGTTTCAATGCAAGGGTAGGTTTGTCACCGTGGGTATGCTGATTTAAAAGGTGAGAATCCTGTGTAATGTATTATTTTGCAATGTGGATTACCCCATATAATATTTCATTAGTGATATCAGGGCAGTCTTTAATATTGAATGGACCCTGGGCAAACATTTCTTGCCCCCCCCATGAAATTGTGGTCTCCACCCCAACATCCCAAAAATCACACACATAAACCTATGTAAAATAAAATCATAATATAAACATAAAGAACTGGTCCAAACTCACTATTTGGCCCAGGCTTACTGATGGTTGCTAGAGATTACAGCATATCCTTACTGCTAACTGATTGGTTGCTAGAGATTACAGCATATCCTTACTGCTAACTGATTGGTTGCTAGAGGTTACTGCAGATCATTATTGCTCACTGATCAGTTGCTGTAGGTTACTGTACATTATTACTGCTCATGGATTGGTTTCTATAGCTTACTGTGCATCATTACCACTTACTTATTGGGCACTAGAGGTTATAGCACATCATTATAGCTGACTAATTGGTCACTGAAGGTTACAATACATCATTTCCTTACTGCCTGCACACCATGGACTGGGGAGGTTAGGAGATCCACCAATAGACAGAAGAACACTCCTAGAGCTTGTTATTAGCAATGAGCAGAGCAGAGCACAGACAACTATAAACGTTAGGTAGGAACAGAACCCAATGTGAGCAGCTTCCCTGAGGATGGCCTGCCAGGAATAAATGACTAATCATGCCGACTGCAGTAGAAGTACGGGTCGTCAGGAATAGAGAAGTCATACAGGACAGGTGAGACGTACACAAGGTTTGTTCTCCTGGTGCAGCTCATTGTCGAGTGTCCAGAGGCAGCCAGCACCTCTCTCTCCTCCACCGTCACCTTCCTTCACCACAGCCACCTTAACCCACACAAGTCAGAGCAGCCCCAGCCAGGCACAGCAGCATAATGGAGCCCCATCCTCTGCCCTGCCAACACTGGCTGTGGCCATCCTGCTATCTGAGCCAGGCCACCATTCTCATTGGCCCTTTGCGCTGTCCATCTACCATCGGGCCACTGATGATTAGGCAGGGTGCTGTAGACTCCCAGGGTGGAGGCTGCATGTGTTTTGTGTCCTCACATTGTGGAGTGTGAGTCCTGGAAAGCAAAAGGAGGTGTAGCGTCACCCAGTGGTGTATTTAGGTTTTATGCTGCCCTAGACAACACAATAATCGGCTGCCCCCCCCCATCGGCGGAGAGAGCCTGACACCAACCAACACCATTCCCTCCACCCCCCCCCCCCCCCCCCCACCCAAGAGAGCCTTCCACTACCACCACCCTCCATACAATGGCCACCCTGCCCCCACAATGAGAGAGAGACACTCACCTCCAGACATCCTCTGGAATGAGAGTCAGGCTCTGCATACACCGTCCAGCAGCCCGCAGCCTCCCCACCTGGTCCCCATACCGTGTGTGTCCCTTCTCCTGTCCTTCCTTCCAGGGAGTGGTGGTGCCCCCCTCGAAAAATGCCGCCCTAGGCAAATGCCTTATTTGCCTTATGGTAAATGCACCCCTGGCGCAACCCCTGAAGGAGCCACTTGGTAAATTTGGGTTCTCTCCTCTGTACACCTCTTTGCTTACCTCTGCGCCCCCATCCACAGCTTCCCTCTGTACCCCCCTCCATCCACAGCTCACCTCTAAATTCCTCCCTGTCCACAGCTCACCTCTGTATCTCCCCCATCCACAGCTCACCACTTTTCTCCCTGTCCACAGCCCACCTTTTCTTGCCACAATTCACCTATTTGCCAAATCAGAACTCAACTGTTCACCCCTGTTCACAGTTCGCCTTTGTACCCCTGTCAAAAACTTAACTCCCCCCCCATCCACAGCTTACACCCCAAGCTGTGGATGAGAGGCAGTTTGCACAACCTGCCCCCTCTCCCTACACAACTCTCACCTCTCTTCACAAATTCACCACCCACCCTTTCTCCCCTTCAGAACTCTCACCTCTTTACATATGTAGTTCCCCAACTCTTTATAGCTCTCACCTCTTTACACAAATCCACCAGTCTCCCCCCTTCACAAATTTACCCTCCCTCCTTCTCTCGGTTCTGTTCACTTTACAAATCCCTCCACTCCCCAGCTGGCACCTCTGCACTATACCTCCAACCTCCCCACAGCTGATTTTCTGCACAGGCAACCCCCCCACAGTTCTCTCTCACCTGTTTACAGAAGCTTCACAGTGGTGCAGCATGCACCGCTCTGTTAGGTGTGCGTGGGCTCTTTCTCCAATACTGTGCCGTCTCTGCCTATCAGACCTGTAGCACACAGCCAGAACACTTCACTTGGCTGTGTGCTACACAAGTCTGATAGGCGAGGGTGGGGGCAGGGGAACACAGAAAAGCACTCTGCCTCACTCTATGTCTCGGCCGCTCCAGTCCTGTTGCTCCTGACAGGGGGCAAAGTGGGAGGCTGTAGCACATGCAGCCCACAGCTGGGCTTCTTGCCTGTCACAGTGTGGCCACTTGTATTAAACCAGGAGAGCAAGCAGGGGGCCTCGGATGCACCCGATACAACTTGGAAACTATTTGTGGGAGGCATGGGCTCAAGGGGCAGCTGCCTTGGGCCCCAAAACAATGACAGGGCCCAGGGCAACTGCCCCTTTTGCCCCACATTAACCTCCCTAGCGGTATGATTATGTCCACATTCTGTGCTCAAAGCAGTACATTTTTTTGCATGGAAATATGTTTTTTCTTTATTGTAGGCCTGTAATTTTTAGGAATAACTCACTGAAATCTGTCCGAAAAAAGAGTCTAGTAAACATCCCGGGTATGATAAAATTTGAAACACGAAATCATAAATTATAATTTAATAAATAATCATAAACAATAATAATAATAATAATAATACTAAATTTAATTTAATAATATAATCAAACCAAAAACACTGAAATTGGAAATATAGCTCCAAGTTCGCACATCACTTAGCAAAGTCGCAAAATCGTTTTCAGTGTCTCATGACGAATTTCCCCAGGAATCATTATAACTCAATTCTGCAAGTAGTTCTAATTTACTATCGCTGTTTTCTAGTCGGTCTAAAACCACTTTTGACCTAAAGGGATGCTTTTTGGACACCATGGATGTTTCTCAGTTTCCAGGCAAAAAGAACAGTAAAAATGCAGGCAGGGCACAGGACAAAGCACTCGGGACAAAATAAATGTGAAATGGTTTGATACAGTAATGTTTTACTATGTAATTTTAATGTATTTAGTGAATGTCACTTTTTGTCATTTTCAAATTTCCCACCGTTCCGTCCCCATACGTCCCGACGCTCGCAGGGGACGGAACCCAGATGACAGATGCCGGCATCCGCCAGGGGACATTGCCGGGGACACTGCAGGAGGGACATCGCGGGAGCACAGGACAAGGTAAGTGAAGAACAGATCCCAGAGCAGCGCCGCATGGTATTCCCAAGCGTAGCTTGGGGTTATTGCTTTTGGTACTGAAACTTTACCCCGAGCTACACTCGTGAATACCGCCAGGGGGGTTAAAGACGACCCTGAATGGAACACACAAAGAAGAGAGATCTGGAGCTTTTTGGACCATCACAAAAAAGAGACAAAACACATATATTCATTATAAAAAGTGCCTAAAAACAAACATATGTAATCTTGTAACCACCCTTTTTCCTTCACAATCTTGTAACCACCCTGAGAGGTATCATATACATCCATGCATTAGCTCATTTAGACAACCACAATGTCAAGCTGTTGTGCTGAACTCACCTGCTTCTTCAAGACAAAGATGTCTCTATAACAGATAAAATCATATCCACACTTGGGGGCGGGAGGGTGTATACTTTTAGGCTTTAGGCTAGTATTGAAGATCAAAGTCATTAAGGTCCAAAATGTTATGAATGTGTCTTATGTCACTCAGAAGGGATGCAGTGACTAGACAATATGCTTCCAGCGGAAATGCTGTAAGTAGGTCCAAAAATGGCAGACATACAGTTCCCCACCACCTACCTAGAGGTGTTTCAGTACAACAACAACATTGTGTAGTATAACGGTTCTCTTTACTGGCATGTTCCAATTGTGATAGCTTTATAATTTCCAAAAGTATTGTGCTATGCTTTTCTTCTCTGGAGCTGAAACAGTTAACATGAAAGAAACTTGGATTTCTGCAGGTAATGTTTTTACTAAAAAGTAAAAAACAATATCTTGCCCAGTGCAACAGAATGATCACATTTTTTGTTTTTCCATTTAAAAAAAAAAAAGACATTTTGCACAATGTAATGCTGCAAAACACAGGTGAAACCTTTTCTCCTCCTCATTACAATAACAGGGTAAATTATCCTAATACTTATGGTGGCATCATGCAAGTTTACCTGTTCTTACATAAAAGTAAGCACCACCACCCACCTAGAGGTGTTTATGGCTGAAGACTCCCATTAATGCAGGGCAACTAGCTAGATTGAAACCTATATGACTTTTATCTTACAAACCAGCCATATTTTTCAGCTACTACCTGAATATTTTGGCTAGTTTGCAAGATCACCATCATATAAGTCTCAATCTATCTAGTTGTCCCTGCATTAATAGGAGTCTCCTGCCACAGGGACCACTAAATAGGTGGTGGTGGACAATCTGCCAATTGGGATACAGATGTGAAAAAAAAAACATTGACTGGAGTTTTAACCATTCCATACTCTATCAAGAGTGAAAAAAAGTTTTGGTTTTAGTTTTACTTTAAATATATGTATTATAAAGGCACTTTTTTTTAAAATTTTACTTGGAATTGTACAGTGGTGTGCACCTTTGGATCAAAAGTTATAAACCTTAATTTCAACACTTTTGCTTTATCAAACAATTGCGATCCAAAATTTAGCATTCTGGGGGAGTTTTTGACTTTGTTCAGCTTCTTTATTTATAAATTTATTTTTTTACTAGTTTTTCGGTTCTCTAAAATGACTGCCCATTAAATGATAGCTTGTTTTAATTCGACGGTACCGTATCAGGTGACTTCGGTAAATACCAACCTGCCTTGTTATTGTTATTAGCTTACCTTTGAGAGTAGAAGCTACTTCCATAACTTTAAAAAGGTTGAATTGAACGTAGAGTTCCCTCTTGATAAATAACAAAAAAAATAACTTGACCTTTTTATTTTGTCTAAAAATGGATTTGAAGCCACTATAGAACTGTTTGTAATACTCAAGTCATTATTGTGTCTTTTTTATGAGTGCCTGTTGCGACGACTATACTTTTATATCCCACCTTCTGCAGGGATTTTCCTGCTATGAAATTGCAATGTAAGCGTCAGTAGACTGAAAATGATTGTCACTGGGGCAGGTTAACTACACAGTTAACCAATTACAAGCACAAACATTAGCCACGGCATGTTTTAAAAGATACATGCACCCAGGGGCAGACTGACAACTCATGGGGCCCCCGGGCAATAGGGGATCATGGGGCCCCTGTGTCCCCTGTGTCCTTGCCCAAACTCAAAAAAGCCTATGAAAAAGGTACCAGGGGCATCTTATGGGGCCCCCTACTGACCCCGGGCCCTCGAGCAGTGCCCAAGTTTCCAAATGGTCAGTCCACCCCGGCATGCACCATTCTCAGCATCTCCTGTTGCAATTCTGACCACAGAATCTTTCTGTCTGTAACACAATATACCCAGACAGGAATGTAACTGAGTTTAGAATACAACAGCACTTCATAGAGTTAGAAGTTCTTTAAATTCTCATTAGTAAATTCAAAGATTTAGCTTATGCATTTTTAAATATTGTTTTCATGATTGGAAAAGCAAGACAGTGAAAGAGGATATCTGCAGAAGATATTTATTGCAAAACAGACATTAACAATGTAGTGCTCATCCCCGAAGGAGCCACTGAGTATTGGGTCCCCCTATATCCTGCACAGCCAGGCAAAACACATTTTAGGGTCAGCAACCAGTCCATGAGCTTGTTTTCTTGGTTTTATTTAGGGGATAAACAACTTGGATAGGGTTTAGGGGTATAAAGGATGCCCAATTTGACTTGCAGTAATAACTCTCTGGACTCACTTCCTAATTCTGTACAATAAAGTAGATCCTAAACTTTCGACTTCAGCAGGAGTGGCACAATCTCTTAATGAATCAATAGCACAGTCTCTATGAGGAGCACTGGTAAATTCAAGTAAATTCTCTTTAGACCCCAGCTAGGAAATACCCATTCACCTGGCTGTCTTTTGAAGAATACCCTGGAGCAGGAGTTTCCAAGACAGACACGCAGCACTGTCCCAGAGAGAATTGGTTAAGTATTGCACCCAGCAGCCCTCTCTCCCATAGGCTCTATGGTTGTAGAGATACTCACACTGTCCTTGTATTCTGTAGTTCTGGGTAGACTGCATTCAGGCCTCTCAACAGTTTCTGTCCCCGCTTGCAGGTTTTCCTTCCCTGGTGGAGCTCCTTCTGTTGGCTTCCCTTTCTTGCCTACAGCCTAGAGGCAGAACCCCTCCTTCTACAGGGTCCTCTCCCAGGCTACACAGCAGCACCTTCAGTAATCCATCTTCCACCCAACTCCAGACCCCTTGATGAAATGGCTCCTTATATCCAGGGGCAGTCTGCCAGAATCTCCTGCCTGGGAGACTGACACCCATCAATTTGCATATCCAGATCTCTACCCCTCCTCCCACTAGCTTCTGGAAGCTTCCATGGACCTCAATTACCAGGGGAGGTGATAGAGGCTCAACCTGCTGAGTTATTCAGCCTAACCTGAACATGACCCTTACTCAGACATGCTCACTCCAACTACTGAGTGAGCCATTAAATTTGCCTGACTCTCTAGCAAAACTAGAGGATGCTACAAGAGTAATATAGACATATTTGATGTCTAATTGATTGTTATGTTATTATACATTAGTGTAGCAATGTTTTATAAAAGTAACTCCATAACAGCAGGAATTATAGATTATGTATAGTATTTCATTTTGGTAGTTAAAAAAAAATCAGACTCAGTAGACTCAGTACATGTATTTGCTCAAACCAAACCCAACAGACTGTTTTTAAAACAGGTTTACAACAGGGTCATCATGAGTCCCTGGCCTAATGGAGGTTTACAACACTGCTTCCTAGCTAATCTAATTTGTATTGATGTGTCTTAAACTGGTTGTTTTCTTTTGTCAAATGTATTACCTCCAAAGAATGCCTAGCACAGACATGAGATTAAGATCCTGAAGTACTGTAAATAAATAAATACATAAATACATATCTGATACTTTGTTATTGTTTTGTGAATTTCAGTATGACTCCATATTCCCTCCACACAGTTTAAGGCTCAGATCTCATTATCACCACACCTGTCTTTTTTTTTTTTTTTTGCAAAAATAAAATGTATTAAACATTAACCACTATACTGCCACCCTATAGCAGAAATACTGCTACAGGGCGGCAGGGGTTCACAAAATCATGTATATATCTACGTGATTTTTCATTTTCAGGTAGAGGAGCGCACGCAGTCCCACGCCACCATTCACGGCCTCGGCTGTCAATCACCGGGTCCCGGCCAGTGATTACTCGCTGGCACCCTGGTGATCCCCAAGTAATAACGATGGGGGGAGAGAACTGTGTAGAAACAATGCGATTCTCTCCCCTGACATCTCCAGCACACTGCTTTGTATGGCTATGCAGTGTGCTTACAATGGAAAACACAGACACAGCCCCATAGTGAAACACACACAGCACACAGTTAACCCTTTGATCACCCCAGATGTTAACCACTTCCTGTCCAGTGCCATTAGTACAGTGTCAATGCTTTTTATTAGCACTCATCACTGTATTGGTGTCACTGGGGATGTCAGTGACACCAAATCAGTTCCCCCCAGTGTCAGAATGCCCGCTGTGGTCCCACAGTCCCGCTATTAGTTGCTGATCGCCGCCATTACTAGTTTAAAAAAAATTCCAATATATATATTGCCATTTGTAAACACCATAACTTACACATAAACCAATTAAATTAAACATATTGGTATTTTTTTTTCAAAGACTTGTAGCAGAACACATTTTGCCTTACATTTATGATGAAATTTGATTTTGTACATTTTTTTATTGGACAAGTTTAATAGCAAAAAATATTGTTTTCTTTCTCAAAATGGTCATTCTTTTTTGCTTATAGCACACAAAATAAAAAACACATAGGCAATCAAATACTACCAAAAGAAATCTCTATTTGTGTAAAAAAAAAGGATATACATTTCATTTGGGTGCAGCATTGCATGACCACGCAATTGTCAGTTAACGTAACGCAACGTGGTAATGCAAAAAATGGCCTTGCCAGGAAGGGGGGTAAATCCTCTAGAGGGCAAATGGTTAAACACACCAGGTACATAGTTACATGTGAATATAGGAGTATTTGTGTCTCATCAGCATGTGACTGTGGTCAATAGTGCACTTTCAATATGTTGCTTTTTCATCTGATCATTTTCAATATAATTTCTTCGACTTGACCAATTCTAATATATTTTGTGCTGGGTTGTTGACATAAAGCTCTGCCTCTCTCTGCTAAACCCCCAA